AAGACACGTTGTAGATAGCTGCAGCGCGTCACTAAGAGAGTGTCGCGTCTTAATAGATAGCCTAAAGAGCAAGCTGTATTCCTGCTTCCTTTAAGGGTTTGATTGTGTTGTTACGTTGAGGCATTGTAGGTAGAGTGAAGTTTGGTGTGATCTTGGCAAAAGTGAGTCACTCGCTTGTGTGAGCCACTCGCTTGTGGAGTACGTTAGTTTAAGCTAGTATAGGATACTTAAGTTAAGTATAGTGTTTGCAATAACAATATGCACAACTTTAACAAAACTAGGTTCTAGATAGGTGTTGTTTTATCTTTAAAGGTTGTAATAGGCTTAGAGAGACGTGCTTAGCTAGAGCTTGTTTAGCCAGGCAATCGCGAGTGGGTTACTGTTATCCAGAGCATCTGTGCCACTACTACATCGGGAAAAGTTTTTCTGTTGTCGAAATCAGGAAATTGTGGCATTGTACTGTGGGCAATAGTAGGACTTGTAGGCCTACAATAGTTATTTAATGTGCATTTAATGTCTAGCTAATTTCAAGCTAACAGCTCTAACAGTCCTAACAGCTATAATAGCTACAATAACTCCTAATCCTGCTACAATAGTAGCTCTGCTTAATAAACTATACTTTTATTATATTAATATAACGTAGATTATCACCGAGCCGGCCATATCACCAAACTAGCTACTTTCTCTTAGCACAACCACCTTTTACCCTAACACAATATGCCTTAATAACAACAACTTCAGAATACTACTAGAGAAGGCAGAGTTATCCTTGCTATCTAGGCCTTCTATGCTAGCTAATTTCGCAGTATCTGCAGCGCTGCTAGAGCATTAAACGTACCTTATTAGTAGGTCTCTAATCGCCTTTGCAATATTATGTTTTAACTAGACATATGCGCTAATTACTAGAAACTTACTATACTAGAGGAGCAGATAATTATCTAGTATATACTTAACCTTAATTTGCAAGGATTTGCGCCCTAGCTATGTAAGGTGGCAAATATAGCTAATAAGATACTTAGTGTGTGTGGTGAAGAGCCTGTTAGCAAACTATAGGCTAGCAGGCTTGTGACGCGTTTAGACAAGCTCAAAATGGCCTTTAATTAAGCTAAGGATAGATAGAGAATACTACAGGAAGATCCTAAGATAATTAGTATATAGTTTAAGCTAGTAGAGGATACTTAACTTAAGTATAGTATTTGCAATAACAACATGCACAACTTTAATAAAACTAGGTTCTAGATAGGTGTTGCTTTGTCTTTAAAGGTTGTAACAGGCTTAGAGAGACGTGCTTGGCCAGAGCTTGTTTAGCCAGGTGATCGCGAGTGGGTTACTGTTATCTAGAGCATCTGCGCCGCTAGGTATGCAACCCCACCTTTCATTATCTACAAAGGACGCGTCCACATTTCTGCCTAGTATAAGGAGATAGATATACCCTATAATTAGAAGCTCTTAGTCTCTAAGAACAGTTAGACAAACAACATGCTTAGCCTTAAGTAGTTAAAGTACTTTAACACGCATATAAAGACGTGTTAGGTAGGAGTGTACAGGTTACTTATCTTAGACAGCTATAAGAGCTATCTTAACTAGGAGTTTAAGGACTATTACCTAGAGAACTAAATCCTTACTCTCTATATACTACCTTACTTATTATATATCCTCTAGCTACTTAATATAGTCTGTTTCTTACTATTAAAGCGTAAGTACTCCTAACGCGTTTAAGACTTAGCACACTAATACATCTTCTATATTAATAAGGAAGGCTTCCTACTAGCCTTTAGGGATATGTTCCTTAATGTGTTTATAAAGGTTAACTACTAAAAGGCCTTTAAGGCATTAGGGCTTATTACTACTAACATGTAGGTAGTGTTAGATTGCCTTAAAGTGCGGCTGCATACCCTACTATAGGCTGGCGGATGGGTAGGGTATGCTTTTTTACGTTTTGGCTTATAGCTTCTTAACTAGCAGAGATATGCATACATAATCTATTATTCGATAGA